AAGGTATTCAAAACAAATAATATTAAAAAAACATATCAGAAGAAAGCAATTACATAAAATCTTTGTACAAATACAAATTCCGGACATCTTTTGAAAAAAGAACAGACAGTGCCAATTAGTATGATCAGGAATATTTGTAAATTAAATATATGCGGTACAAATGACCATCTGATTAATTAAAATTGAAGCGAAAATGAAGCCCATAATATTTACGATAACCTTATAAGACTTGTGTCACTTTTTATGTCTTTTTAGATTTTTCCAAATTGTGGCCACTCTGTATTTACGAGAAGTAACCAGTTTTCTTCCTGCATTCGGGTAAGAAAAAAATCAATGATGTGGGAAAAGGGAGGCCCTACGGATATAATGTAACTTCTGATAATGTCAGAAATATTTACAATACCTATGACTTTGATATAATATAATATAATATATGATAAATATTTGATATAACATACTATTTTCTAATTCCTGGAGGACAGCAAGATCAATTTCCTTTCTGGTATTTATGATTGCGATCTCCAGTTTTGCCAAAGGCCAAAACTGCTTGCAACGGGCATGTAGACCTCTAGCGAAGATACCTTTATCCCTTTTCTTAGACTTTGAGATCAGAAAAACACGACGATGTATATTCCTTTTCGCCTTTGACAATCCTAAGCATAGTAATATGCATTATTCATCCCACAACTATGTATTCTGGAAGACAAGCGACTGTAATTATATCCCTAAGATTACATGGAAGTAAGCTAATTGGCTCAGTCATGGAATTAACTACTTTTGTTAATTAGAGTGCTAACGCGGTTTCACCAGACAACATTTGCACTTGTGGTTTATAGATAAATCTGTTACATATTGCTTGTTTATAGCGATACAGTACAAATGAACTAGCGATACTGTAAATGATATAGCGATACAGTACAAATGAAATGTACAGAACAGCCGTAAAATTGATGTTTGGTAATACGTTTTTTGTGCGTGTAATTAATATCAAATACAAAGCATATGTTATTGCAAATCAGGTTTCTTATTGAAGTTTTAAAAATTTAAGTTCATGTTTTGTAATTAATGTTTATCGTAATAGTGTGTAATTGATACATGTGTTTATCATTTAAAGTATGATAGTAGTAAATCAATTGCGGCATCAATGAAGTTATTTATATTTTTAATTTGAAAAAAGAAATGGGATACTGAAATTTTTTTCCAGCATTTACTCTCTTTGAGCCAACATTGTTTTCAATATAACAGAAATAATTAAAAAGTTTTGTGATTTTCATATATACATGTTGTGCCTGACTGTGTAATATAAGCTACTTCGAAACTTCAATCAAAATCATGCTAATGTTGCATGAAAAATTAAAAATAGTTAAATCGCAAATATAAAAAAATATACTTATATAAAATAAATTTCATAGAAAAACCTTAAGAGTTTTGTTTATTTAAAAACTCTGTAACTAATTTTCCAGTTTAAAATTCTTTAAAAAACTATGTTCATGCAGTTTTAATTTAAATTTAGTGAAATATAATATTATTATGCAATTAAATTTAGTCAAAGTGAATAGAAAAATGTGAACTAAAGCAAGCATATGATCAACACTGTTTTAAAACCTTTAAATAAACTGTATTTGTATCTGTGGGTTCTACTTAGTTAACAAAATTTTGTGTATAATCCCTAAAATTAAAAAAATGGACCACCCTGAATAACTTTTGATCTAATCATCGGATCTCCACGATCTAGGATTCAATTTTGCAGATTCGAGGGGGTGACCTCAATTATGTTAATTAAATAGTGTAAACGACAGTTTAAGTTACGAAATCAGACACAAAAATTACTTTCTCTGAATAAATATACTTTTCATGCGATTGATTCTGATTTCTGACCCTCAAATTATAGGGAGTAGCAGCAATCTGGAAAGTATAATTCCAATAGTTAAGTCAGGAGAGCGGTTCGAAGTTCGGACTTTTTAATGTTCATTTGTATTTTTGCGAATCTCGTCAGATATAAAAAAACTTTTTAAGCGAATGAAAAAACTTTGCATTCAATTATAAAATTGATTTATCCAAGGATAATACCACTGAAATCGAATTTTGAAAAAGTCGTGTTTTAAAAATTCGATTTATCAGGAAATATAATAAATGCTTATTAATGTTATATTTTTCATGGAATTACCTTTGGAAAAATAAATTTTATAATTGTGTGCAAAAAATTTTCTCTCCACTTAAAATGTTTTCGAGATACAGTGAGATACGCAAAAAGTAAAATTAGCATTAAAAGATCCAAACTTCGGATTGCTCTCATGACTAAACTATGTTATTTGTACCGTATTTCCCAGATTGAGGTTGCCCCCTATATTTTGGAGGTAAGAAATTCGAAAGAAAGTATGTTTATTCATAGGAAGTAGGTTTTTTGGGTCTGATATTGTAACTTAAAATATCGTTTTTGAGATCCCTCCCTCGAGCCTTTAGATTGAGTCCTAGAACGTGAAGATCCAATTAGTAGCTTAGAAGTTATTCTCGGTGGTCTGTTTCTTATATTGCATACTGCACACATAAACTTCATTACATTTGATCAAACTTATAGCTGGATTAGAAGGTATTCAAAACAAATAATTTCTTAGTGCTGAAAAACATAACAGAAGAACGCAAAATTTTATCACACTTATAAATATTTTATAAATATTTTAATATTTAAACAAAGGCGCCTGTAAACAATTAGAGTAAAAATGTTTTTAAACTAAATATGCAACTTCTTACCAAAGCACATGATAAATCAGTATCAGAAAAGGAAAAAAAAGTGTTCCAAACAACAACAGGAGTTCAAGATTTCAATCCAATCAATTGAAAGAACTTTCTTTAAAAAATATACTGCGAATAGAAAAGATAAACAAGAAACAAATCACGACGAAGCATGAAACCCAAAATGACACTCTAAGGAAAAAGAAAGAAGCAACAAAACAATGAAAGTTCAAAAAACAATAAACTTGGCGAAGAAGAGCAACAAAACCATCACCAAAAGCGTAAGGAATTGAAGCTATTAACTTAATACAAGACCTCCTTCTGAATTCCACTTCAAAGCTGGCTTTTGTCAGGTGGGAACGTTTCATTATCCGAAAATGACGTCGAAGAAATTTTGTTCTTTTCGTTTTCTTATTTTTATTTTTGATTCATCCTCCATCCCATCAGGGCTTTAGAATAATTTGTGCGAAGGGTAAGGTGGAGTTGTAATGGTGTGGGGAGGATGCAAGGGCTTGGTGATGTCACTGCAAGCTATATATCATGACGAGAGTGTCTTTTTAAATGAGCATCAGCTTTTAAAGTATGCTTTGTGGAGTACTTCAATTGTAGTATTCTAATACTTTGTCTTTTGTGAAATGTTGTTATTGAAAAATTGTTCATCATAATACAAAAACTCTTTTGTGACGAAAATTGCGTTTTTCGTTTTATTGAACATCTGTGATGAATGCAATTTTCACCTAAATTGTGTTTAAAAGAACTGCCTATTATCTATTTTATGAGTTGAATAGCTAAGGTTGAGAAAAATTTGTATTCAAGAAAGATTTCACTAAATAAAAAAATGTATTTTCTCTTGAAGTATTCTTTTTTTATTTTGAATGAAGTACCAATAGTCAGCTAATTTCTATTGCTGATTATTTTAATTTCAATAAATTTCTATTAAAGGGAAATTATTGAAATTCTATTTTATTTCAATAAATTTACATTATTTTAATTTCAATACATTTCTATAAATTCAACTACTAAGTGCACCATTTTTCAATTAATAGTTATTCTCAATGAATTGCTTAAAAAATTGAATTTTTGATGATGAATTTTTAAATTTTATTGTGAGTTATTAGTTTTCATACAATCTTTAAAATGCATTAGAATATGCATTCCAGATGCGAATTCCGTTTAATTTTGTTTATTCTATTGTGCGATTTTTTATGTGACAACACCTGTTTACTGCACATAGATGATTTCTAAAGCATTTCATTTGTACACAGAAATAGAAAGATTAGGAAAAAAAAACAGAGAAAAAAATTAACACAGCATCATGGCCAACAGTATGTTTCGTTCTTAACCATAATATCTCTCAAATTTGGCATACATGATAAATTTGTACAGAATTATATCTGCACACGCTGCTAAAAGTTCTAGATCAAATTACGATAAAAAGTACCAGTTGTCAGTTTGCCAGTACGTTTTACCGTGAAATCCATTTTTTCGGAACATGTTACGGAACTAAATATCTGATATACCGTAATATTTTTGCAGTAACAATTATAGTAAAAATCACTAAATCACTCTAATTAAATAAATCTTACTGTAAGAAATACGGTATAATATTTTACAAAAACATGTATTTTACGGATGATGCCGGTGTTTAAAACTGTAATTTGATTAGGAATCTTTTCTAGTGCGCAGGGAAGACTTAAAGAACATTGTAATTGTCTAGCAGATTTGTACAATACAGTAGCGGCAAGTAAGCTAAGTTAAACGCTTATAATGTTGCTCGTTAACTATTTAATTACTTTTTAAAGTTAAGTTAAATGCTTATGATGTTGCTCGTTAACTATTTAATTACTTTTTAAAGTTAAGTTAAACGCTTATAATGTTGCTCGTTAACCATTTGATTACTTTTTAAAGTTAAGTTAAACGCGTATAATGTTGCTCGTTAGCTATTTAATTACTTTTTAAAGTTAATAGTATGTAATTAAGATGTACAAACGGACTTCAAAACGTATCATTCGGATGCGTGCAGGATTAATCGCAAAACAAGAATGATCTTTAATGATGTTTAAAATAACTTTTAATTGGTTATTTTTTTCCGAAATATTTTTCACATTATTTCTATTTTTTAGGGATGTTTGTCAAACTGTTTAAATTACGTATGATTATGTAAAAACATTGCATTAATTGATTATTACATTAAATTCATGATTTATAATTTTTCTTGTAGTTGTTCGCCAAGGATACCAAGTGCAAGTTTACGATGAGTTCGTTATTCGAGGCAACACGGCTGTACTCCGCTGTCAAGTGCCAAGCATTGTTAGGGATTACGTCATAGTGACTAAATGGGAGCGAGAAGATGGTGTGACGATTGTATCAAACGTGGCAAACGGTAATTTCCATTTTGCATTTTTTTAAATTATAAACTATGTAAATCTTAAAATATTACATCGATTACATTTTTAAAAATATTTTAGTTAAAAATGGATCTAAACAAAGGGAGGGAAAAAAATCATGGAAAATTACCACACTCTATTGTAATGACATTTCTGATAAAATAGATCTTAATTATGTTATTCAAAACCAAAATATATGGTATTTAAACCATTCTCTTGGTAATTTTTCCGTTCCTCAGTAATGATTAATCCGAATCATCTTATAATCACACATTAAGAAAAAAAATACAGAACTGAAAAGTAAATTTGACCGAATACATGGTTTTTATGCCATAAAGTTACCTTCCTCTTCTTCGTGGGCACTACAGCCTATGACAGGCCAAAGTCGTCCCAATAATTTTTTGCCATCTTGATCTATACTATAAGTTACCACATTTGCTAAATTATATCACATATTATTAAATAGCTTTATACTGACATTTTTACCAAAATTATTACCAAAGCACTTCGATAAAAATAACAGAGCGTTTTGGAGCTCCCATAGATCTAGAAACACGATAAATTTTTATCATATTCTGGTACTTTGGGAAATACCTTTCTTTCTCAGTGCAGAATAAATAAATAAATTATTCCTTATCTTTATTTTTTTATTGTGATAATAAGTTTTGATAATTATTATTAAAAAGCATCTACAATAAAGCGTGTATGCAAAACAAACATAGGCATGATAATGTATAAGCTTGGAAAGATTAGATATTCTATGATTTCTTCATATCGATTAAATATTATTTAAAAAAGGAAAGAGAATAAATTTTAATGTATTTTAGAGCACCTAGTTTATAGGAAATACAACCTCTTATTTGATAAATGAAAATGACGACACGCATTTCACAACATTTTCGCTTCTTCTCTCTAACAATTTATGCAGTTGTACTGGGATCATTTTAAAAAGTACAAACTTCCAAAGTCGCCATGGAAGCTTACGTCATTTGGATTTATTATTTCGGAGTGAAGTCCCATTAGATTTCGAAGAAACTCAATTCAATAGGAATTCGAGAAGCTTCTGAGGTATATATTATTGTAAGAAAGACTTAATTATACTTTATAACAATGCTTAACAGTTAAACTTTACAATAACAGTATCAGTATCTATATATATCTCTCCCCTGAAAAGAAAGAATAGTTTTTTCTAGAACACAATATTATTCGATCAAATGTATTGGCAAATAGCCATTGCTTTTACAGAAACTATTTTAAAATACAGAAAAATTATTGTAGTAAAGTATTAAAGTGCAATGCATATTTAGCTTATCATTAGAATTCTGGGGTAATATAATGACAAGTCAGCTTTTGAGATTATTCAGAAGACCTTTTATGATGGAAAAAAAGTAATTTTCATGTCAGTAATACGCTGTTCCTGTGCAGTCATCTAGCGAAAATGGAAAATTCAAAATTTGTAAAGTTCTATATTCTAAACTGATAATTTTAAATACAATTAACTATATTACGTAAAAGTAATTTATTAAAATATAATTATGAAACTTTATTAAAATATAGTACACTATAACTTCTTAAAAATTTAACGGATAGTACGTAAAATTGAACGTATTTGTTTTTACAGTTAACCAGCCAATTGTTCGAGAAAATGAGAAGTCTAGAATCAATTTAATGATAAGCCACACTTTTACCAGATAAGACAGTTTGACATCAAATCTTTCTTTTGTTTTAGTATTGTTTTCAGAATATGGAACTTTAAAATTTTTTTTAATTTTCTACATTCGCAAGATGACTGTACTATACACAAGAACAAGTTATTACTTACAAGAAAATCACTTTTTTCCCCATTATAAATGGTGTTCTGAACTATTTTAAAGTCTGATTTAGCATTATATTACTCCAGAATTTCAATGATATGCTAAATATGAGCCTAAAAATTGCATTACAATTTAATACTTTACTGCAATAATGGGGCCGAGATAGCTTGGTTGGTAGGGTACTGGGCCTATGTCAAGTGGTCATGGGTTCGATCCCTGCCGGCCGAAGATTCCCCGTGTAGTAAATGGTGACTGATGCACGTTAAATATGTCCAGTCTCAAAGTCCTCCATGTTCCCATAACAAATCAATACCCCTGGGGATACTGAATTGGAGATTGATCGTTCTCTGATTCAGGTCAAAATTACGATCTGTGGATGAATGAATGGATGTATGCATGGGTCCACCCTATAAACGGGAGTGACGTATGTCGTTCCAGATGTCGAATTCTTGGTCATAGATGGCGCCACTGGAAAACAAGAATAATCTCATCCCCTCAGCCTAAGCGGGCATACGTTAACAACAACAACTGCAATAATGACTTTTCATTCTTGAACAATAGGCTGGTTAGCTGTAAGAAAATTGCGTTTAATTTTATTTATTATCCGTTAAATTTTTAGGAAGGTGAAGTGTACTTTATTTTAATAAAGTTTTATAATCATATTTCAATAAATTATTTTTTATGTAATACAGTTGATTGTATTTATTACCATCACGGAAATACTTATAAATATCTGAGAGAAATGCAGTTTGTTGCGAAAACAAGATGACTAGTAAAAAAACCTACATAATTGAAACGAAACTTGTTATGGTGATGAAAGTAATGAAAGCATCAGTCATGAACGGATAAACAGTAATATCACGTACATTTCACCAGCACTTAATATAAGAAGTGATTTACTTATCATCCTTATCCTCCTCTTTAGTTTTCCTAAGAGCTTCTCCTCAGGGAGTCAGATTTTTTTTATTACAGCAACAAAATATTCGAAATAATATGCTACGTAATATTTTTTGGACTCTGAATTCTCGCGTGGGTCATTTTCAGATAACATTCAACGATGAATCTTGACCTCAGGGAAATGGACTCACGGGAAAACATTTCACCCATCTTCTTTTGATATACATTTGGCTTATAGATAAACTGAAAATCACAGAAAAGAGTTGAAGGAGTTTATATGGGGTTTTGATGTATCACTTCTGTGTATATTATTATGATGATTTCAGAAGGGCTTGATATTTATTCTGTAGATAAATGACTCATAATACTTTTATGCAATCTAATGCACCATGTATAATATTTTCTCACTATAATTGCTTTTGTTTGTTACCGAAAGAAAATTCAGAATTTAAAATTTATTAAAGCTTTAATTCTTATAGGCTACTAAGTGTAAACCAAAAATTTTTTATTCCTGAAAACGTATGCTTCAAAACGATTTTATTTTCAAACTTAAGTTTAATATTCCCGCAGCATCTCGTTAGTGGACTAGACATAGTAATCAGTATTGTGACCAGTATTGTGACGTAGTAATCAGTATTGCGCACAGGTCGCCTTTACTTCCCAGATATGCTGGAATCCATCACTCTAAACCTGAGTGGGCTTCAAATGGCAACTGCCGTTCCCACGAAGCGATCGCGGCTGATCCGTGATGGCTCAGTGGATCAGGCGAACCGGGTTCGAATCCCAGTCGATACGAATTCCGCATCCGGCTTGTACCGACCACAGTGCTGAAGTGAAAGATCCTCAGTGGTAGACGGATCATGGGATAGAGTCTCCTTGCCACCAGGCTAACCGTGGGAGATTCTCGTGGTCTTCCTCTTCATGTAACGCAAATGCGGGATAGTTCCATCAGAAAGTCCGCCACGAAGGCAAAATTTCTCACAATACTTGATCCCGGAGTTCCCTTATCTTCTGGATTGGGTTCAAAATTACAAGGTTACCGAGTTGAACATTGGAAGACGTAAATCCAAAAATTGGGTCGGCTGTTCAACGACGGCTACATAAAAAAAGCTATCTCGGCTAGCTATACAAAAATTTGTAAAATTGCTTACTTTTTTTGCGTGACTGCTTACTCTAAAATGCTCTGAGAGAATATTTCTTTTCATTGATGAAATTACTGTCTTTACTTACCTAAGAATAAAATTACGATCAAAATCAGTAGGGCTAGTGCAACGTAGCTAATAAAACTAGGAACTTATAATAAAAAAAGAGTTGATATTCAGTCACAGTAGTAGGTGAACCAGGAAAAAAACTGTGCCACAAAAGAATGCACAAACGCCTTCAACAAACTATGCACAAGCATCCTTCAGTTTAAATGGTTAAAATGAATAGTTTAAATTGATGGTGCAATTGTTAGAACGGAACTTACAGTACAATAACTCACTTAATTTTATGACAAAATGGTAGTCACAATGGGGGAAGTCATGGTCAGAACTACCAACTTATAGTTTACCCTTTTCTGGTTCTATGGGAATACCGAAAAGCTCAGCAATTTTTATTGAAATGCTTTGGTAATGATTTTGGTAAAACTAACTATCAAATAGTGTTTCATAATGTATGATAAAATTTGATAAATGGGTGATAAATTTTGGTAATTAAGTTTGGTAATTCACTAAAGATCAACTGAAGCTCTTGTGATCATGGTACTTCAGAAAAAAATGAGTGTTTAAATTTAGTGTAGGTAATTCAAATCAAATATAGAGAGATAAAGTGACAAGTTATATTTTTCAAAAAATAAATAACTATAAATTTAATTCCAATGTAACTGGGAAGCTTCTGTGTCTTTCAGGTGGAGTCAATTAAGAGAAAAATTGAGAAAAAAAAGGAGGGAAACCTTAGACTTACATTAGTTCTAGATAATTAAAGTTATAAACAGTGATATTGGAGTTTAAAATTAAACACAGAAAACTTTAATTTGTCAAATTCCTCTCCCAACCCTTCGTAATTGTGACAACTAAGTTTTCACAAATATAAAATATTTCTCCGAACCGAATCCTAGAAACAGAAATAAATGGGATTCGGTGAATGTTTTCGAGACATATATTCTAGAGTTATACCGAGTCATGCGGTGACCATTCATCCTTTCAAAGGAACTGAATCTAAACAAGTGAGGCAGATATGCGCCAAGCTGCGTTCGCATTTCTCACACTGTTTCCGTCTTGTTTCTGTTGATGACTCTTTTTCCC